CCCGCCTTACTCCCCACAACAGGAGGAGAAGGGAACTGGGACGTAGCCAAGTGAATGTTTGTGCCAATAGCAACCACTCGCTGGCGAAGCTATTTGTCGACGGGTTCCTCTTTCCAGGGCTGCTTAAGAAGCAAGCTGTTAGCAATTTCTACTCCTTGGCATGAGACGACAATAAATTAATGTGAAAAAGAATTAATTAGCTTTGCCAGTGACGGATCTGAACCCTCGACTTTCACCACAAGAGCATCGCTATTTGCCCTGCGCCATGCCCATCAGTCTAAGTTACTATTAAAATAGAAAGGGAAGAAGGGGCCATGGAGGGCCGAGCAAGAAGTGGTCATTCAAAATGAGAATGTCAGAGTTGCAGTAGACGAGGGGTGGTAATAAAAACCTCAGTTTAATAAAAGCAGTGAGGCACCTGCACGATCACATCAACATGATTGGTTTTGGTGCGAAGCATTGGCACCAGTGCAGCCAATATCGGGCTCATATATGGCTTAATAAATTTCGGTGATTGCTTTGCAACTTGAGCAATTAGACGAGCACTGTGTTCTTCCAGCCTGTAAGTTTTTTTTACAAAGTTAATAAATAATAAAATATGCTAGATCACGAGGAGCCAAGCGGCCGCCTTTTAGCTATAGCTGACGGAATTCCTGCGTCTGAAATCCAGTGACCTTTGACGCTTCTAACAAGTGCATCCTAAAAAACACCTCCCCAAGAGAGATGGCAATTGAAATAGTGAAGGAAAGTTAGGTATCTTGCAAATTCATAAATCGCTTAACATTTTACACTGAAAAATAAGCAGTGAAAGAAAGTGGAGGGAAGGGAATCCCATGCTCATCAACGGCATGATGACCATAAGATAATGCAATTTCAGTAACTACGAACAAGTTCCGAGATGCACCGGAAGCATGATAGTTTACTATGATAATACGATAGCTGGTCAACCAAAATAGCGTACAACAGATATTGGTATTTTGGTAACAGCCTTTCTGGGAATTTTAGCCCAAAGAAATTCAGCACTACCCAAAAGGTCAACTGTCTTTTTTGTCGCAGCAAACAGCGGGAAAATCACTTGGTCGGATAACCTGGGATGTTGCCCAGTTAGCGAGATATCTTGTTTTGGCAACATTCGGGATGAAATAGTACGCCTTTTCATGGAAATCTCGTACCAGTTAAAGCCCTGTCATGTGTTCTTTTTGAAAAAAAAACCGCTAAATCGCCCTCTTCTCAAACGTCAGCACTACCAGTAGGCTGTGCATCAAGCGAACAATCCGGAGAATTGCTAAGAAACGGTAAAAAAAAAAAGAATCACCTCGGTACGCCAGTGTTGGTAAGCTGTGAAATTGTCTCCAGCAGAACATTTCTTAAACTTGGCAGAACGTATGCGGGATTTAAATTGCCCAATTTTCCAAGCAGCGCAACCGAGCGTTCCTGCATCTCCAGCTTCTCGTCGTGCAGCGTCATGAATATCAGTTGAAGCATATCGGCCTGCGCCAAATGTGACAGCAGATGAGCATCACCATCTTTGAAGCATTGCAAAACACTCAATCGCACCTCAACAGCTGAAACAATTTGTGAAATAAGTCAATGCTAAAAGTCCCTCTCGCACATTTTTGCAAGACATGTTGTTCGCGCTGCTCACAGCCGGCAGGTGTCATACATTAAATGGGAATACCCCTTACCAGCCCCCCTCCCGCCTCGCCCCTCGTTCTCGCCGCTCTTCCCAAGAAAAAGAACTCTGAGGAACGAGAACTTACATGGATCGGTGACAGCAACCATGACAAGCTGTCTCAGCACCGACTGAATTAACTTGAGAACATGAAATTTCTGTGTCCTATTGGAGCCTTCGAATGACTCAAAAACCCGGACGAATGGAGCCAGCACTTTGGCGCAACAATGGACTGCTGCTAACCGTACCTCCGCACAGTCGCATACCAAATGACCCTGAAATATTCCCGGGTAATTGCGAGTGCAAATTTACACACTTCTGCAAATCATATCTAAAAAAATGTTCCAGAAAATGCAATTGTAAATGATAGTCTTCGCTGGATTTTAGAAATTCGCATGTGATCAATGGTGAAAGCAGAAGGGCGGAAGTTAATGACTAAAAAAGTAATAGAGTAAAGAAGCCAGAGCATGGTCTCAAGATATACACAGATAGATGAACCAGCCCTTGTCATGAAGAGATTTTTGACACAGAGGTGACTGCTATCATCATAATGGAAAATCGGCAGAACAGGAAATGTAACTTACTCTGCTGATATTCAATGGAAAAATGCGCATCGGCCAATGGTACCTATCAAAAGAAAGCCAGCTGGGGGCTGGATTTGAAATCATTAAGTTCTACTCAAAATTTCAGCTTTCTAGCTTTTCCGATTCCCAAATGGGTACGCTTTGTTTAGATGATAATTCAGTAGAGTATGCAATAGCAGACAGGTAGTTCAGAGCAAAAAATGCCTGGTTCTCAGTGACAACAAAGCTTTATGTCGATAGTCTGGAGTGCTGTTGATGGGGGAAAAGCGAAAAGTCATGTCATGCCCACATTCTCTAACGCATGCGATACACGATCAAACGAAGTACTGATCCAAATATAAGTATGCAAAGCAGGCCCAAAAAGGCTGATGGTGTAGGGAGCTAGCACAGTACTAAAAAATCCTATATCGAAAAAAAGCGAAAATTCAGAACCATAGCCCATTTCTTTTATGCAAGGCATGAAAATACCCCTC